GGTTTAGGGTTTAGGGAGCCCTAAGCCATCCCTAAGCCGTAGCTATTATTGATATTGTCGTCATCTTTAGTGCAGTTGGTTTTACCAGCTGTTGTTCTTATATCTGCAGTATGATGAGATTATCATTATCACGGTTCTTCTTCTTCTTCTGCTTATTGTTATGTGTCTTCTTCTTTTTCTTCCTCTTCCTCTCCTTCTGCTTCTTTTCCTTGTGATGATGAGAATGAATCCCGAGCAGGTTGGGGGCTCCTTCCTGTACTCCACCAAGCAGGCGCTGCAGACACGGAGGGCTCCCGGGGGGGGGGGGGTTGTGTGCGAGAAAAGCGCCCCGGACCCTAAACCCTATAAGACGTAGTCCCTAGACCCTAAGCTCTGAACCCTGGACCGCATAAACCCTTCACCCTAAGCCCTGAACCATAAGCCCTGAACCCTCAACCCTAAGCCCCACAAGACTGAGTTCCTTTACCCTGAACCCTAAACCCTTAAGGAACCCTAAACCCTAAACCCTTAAAGGAACCATAAACCCAAAGCCCTTAAGTACTACAAGGGTTTAGGGTTCAGGGTTTGGATCTTTGGCTTCGCATGATTTTGGTTTAGTTTGAAGCCCTTGGGTTTGTTTGTGATCCGCAAAGCCTAAGTTGCCTAAATTGTTAGGGTTTGGGGTTTAGGGTTTCTTTAAGCTTTCGGGGTTGCACAAGAAAAGTTTACGAATGTCGCCGGCCCCAGCCCGCGGTAAAATCAATCTACAAGCCGGGTGTAGAGTATCCGCTTTAGGCCCTTGCACCCCCCACAGCAACCGTGCGAACGGCTCTAATAATGAAGCTCAACGTACGAAGTATCCTGATCCTTTAAATATAGTTACCCTCATAGTCACACTTAAGTTGGCCGTAAACCCTAAACCCTAAACCCCTAAACCCTAAACCATGTTTAGGGTTTAGGGTTTAGGGATGTCTTAATCCTTAGAGACCCTGACCTGACGTAGACGGCAGGCCACGAAGCAGTTTCTCAGCGCCATGGAATCGGACATCAAGATCTCGGAAGTTCCTCGGATCGTGGAGGCTTTGTCGGTCTTTAGGGCTTTAGGGCTTTAGGGCTTCAGGGAGTTAGGGGTTTAGGGTTTAGGGTTTAGGGTTTAGGGTTTAGGGTTTAGGGTTTAGGGTTTAGGGTTTAGGGCTTAGGGCTTAGGCTTTAGGGTTTGGGGGTTTAGGGCTAAGGGTTCAGGGTTGAGGGATGTTGAGGGTTTTAGGGTTTAGTGTTCTTCCAGGGTCCTCAACAGCATACGTTGGGGATTCGAAGTTACATTCTTGCTTGAGACAGTTTTCGCTTTTGACTGGTGACTAAGCACTCTCACGGCCAGCACTCTCTCAGTTTCTGATTTGTATTCTTCATTTTCCAAACCAAACCCATGTCTACCTACACCCCGGCCTGTAGATGGATGTATCCACCTTCTACCCATCTGTCTGTGTCACCCGCACCCAGACTAAATAGTACTTGAGCGGGATCCTTTTCCAGTTGAGCTGCATGGTATGGGAAGCAGCAGACTGGTAACAGATAAGTCCCAAATGCGGACAGAGCAGTAGGCACGATAGCCATCGCATGGACCCAAACCCTTAACAAGGGACAGGAAAACAGAGTTCTCAGTAGTAGCCCTCAATCGTGGTAAGAAGAAGCCCTGGGTAAGGTAAGGCATATTCCTTAATGTAGGGGTATTGGCCTCTTCGAAACGCTAACCCTAAACCTTAAGCCCTAAGCCCTGGGATCCCCATCAAAATCCCAATCCCTAGACCCCTACCTCCTCCATACAACCCTAAACCCTAAACCCTGAAGAATCTCTCCCGCCTCTGCAGCCGAGGACCAGCTAACTTCCATTGGTGGCAACATGTGGGGCTCTCAGAATTAGGGTTTAGGGTTTAGGGTTTAGGGTTTAGGATAGAGGCTTGAAGTTGTGGGATCCTGTTGCTTCAGGAGCCCTAGAAAGGCTTTGGGGATCTTGGGTTTCAGGGCTCAGGGCCCCAGTGACACGGTCGTAGTAGCATATTTTATGATGAGACACAAGGTTTGGATGGGAGGAGTGACGCTTCAAGACGGCAGCTGTCCTGGGCAGACATGGACGATCAGCTCCACGAACTCGAACGGTATCAGACCTGCCTTGCACTATCCAACCGACAACTACAATGTTCCTTTCAAGCTTCCAGCCTGGACCTCCCCTAAACCCTAAATCCCCTCGGGCCCATCAATCCTAGAGCCCAAGCCCTAAACCCTAAACTTGCCCTAAACTCTTTGTAGTCTTACTCCAAGTATGGTCAGCAGTTTTGCCTTAAGCCACACTCCCCGGACCTTTTAACTGGAACTTACAACTTCTGCAGAAGCTCTACACAGCTCGCATATAATGACATTCTCTGGATCCTTACTAGAACCCTCAACCCCAAACCCTAAACTTGCCCTAAACTCGAGAAGCCACCAATGCAGAGGTACTGGGCCCGCTTCAACGCTGTCCCCTTCGGCGGTCTGGCTAAGGTTTCACAGCCGCAGACGATGCCATGGGCCACATTTGGGGCCAGGGTTTAGGGCGTTTAGGGTTTAGGTTGTTACGGTTGACGGTGTTAGGATTTAGGGTGTTAGGGTTTAGGGTGTTAGGATTTAGGCTGTTAGGATTTAGGGTGTTAGGGTGTTAGGGTGTTAGGGTGTTAGGGTTTAGGGTGTTAGGGTGTTAGGGTGTTAGGGTTTAGGGTTTAGGGTGGTAGGCTGTCTTTTTATCGATTCCCGAAAGCCCTACAGCCCGGAAGGGGTTAAAGCATTTCGGGACATAGTTGTTACGAAGTTTACACAGTCTAAGGACTTTAGGAGGGACCCCTAATAGGTACCCTTAATCCCATGACCTTAGATAACCATTGTATAGTCCTTATATACCCCTTAAAAAGCCAGGTAGTCTCCATATGAACCCCAGCAACCTACAAGGGTCCCTTTTAAGGGTCCCTCCTAAAGTCCTTAGACACGCGGGGTTCACGGCCTCAGAGTCTTTAGACGTAGGAAGTTGGTGTGTTTCGGGCTCCAGTGGGGTCTGCATTCCGGAAGAGTCATCGCAGGGCTTTTTGTCATCTTCGTCTCCTTTGTGACCCTAAACCTTAAACCCTAAACTTCCTACAGACCCAAAAGCCCAACAGCCCTGAAAGTTAAAGCCGCAGCTCCAAAAGACCTAAGAGCCCTAAGCCCTAAAACACCAAAGCCCGGAACCCTGAAACCCCAAGTCCTCAAAGAACCTTTGCATAGCCCTTATAGAAACCTTCTTAAACCTTCAATGCTTAAGCTCTGCAAGCACTCTTTTTTGGGTAGTTCTCCAAACTAGGGTACCTCTTTAGGTCCCCCATATAGTACGGCGCCCCTATAAAAAGGACCCCAAAAGGGGCCCTAGTTTAGACAACTACCCCAAGCACCCTAAACCCGAAACCCTAGGCCTCAAACCCAAAGCCCTCTCATCTGAACAGATGTTCCTAAAACCCCGTGTCGGGCTGACGGAAAATGCGTTCAGCAAAGCACACCTAAACCCTGAACCGGTTTAGATTTCAGGGTTTAGGGTTTAGGGTTTAGGGTTTAAGGTTTAGGATTTAGGGGTTTAGGTTTAGAGTTTACGAAGATCTCCGGTGCCTATCCGAGGCTCTGCCCTCTATCTGGCCGAAGCTCGAGGGGGTTGAGGTGCCCTTCAGAAGGTATCAGAGGCTTTGGGGCTCAGGTAGGGCAGTTTAGTAGGGCTAGGGTTCGCGGTTAATGTAGGGGCCTTAAAATTTGGAATAGGGTTTTGGGCTCCTTGATAGTATGATCATAATAAAGAACCCTAGCAGCAATATTGGTAGTTACTTAGGCTTCTATATTGTGGGTTTGCTTTTTAAAGCGAAGCTCAGAATTTAAGGTTTTGCGAGGAGGCTTAAGGTGCCGTTCAGAAGCGAACATCAGGGTTTAGGGTTTGGGGCCCTTTCATGCGTGACAAAAGGGATGAGGGTCCTTTTGTAAGCTTATTTCGGGTTTAGGGTTTAGGGTCCATTTCTGGGCTGGTATTATTTCTGTTTCGGGCTTAGGGTTCAGTGTTTCGGCTTTAGGGTTGAGGTGCTGCGACACACAGGGTGAATAGGCAGTGGCAGCGGTGGAAGAGAGTTAATGTCGCATTAAACTGAGTATTGGAAGCAGAAGTAGGTCCCAAGTAGGTGGAATATCGTTTAGTAGTAGTAGTAGTAGTAGTAGTAGTAGTAGTAGTAGTAGTAGTAGTAATTGTAGTAATTAGTAGTAGTAGTAGTAGTAGTAGTAGTAGTAGTAGTAGTAGTACGTAGTAGTAGTAGTAGTAGTAGTAGTAGTAGTAGTAGTCGTAGTCGTAGTGGTAGTGGTAGTAGTAGTAGTAGTAGTAGTAGTAGTAGTAGTAGTAACAATAAGAACAGTAATATACCTCCTGAGATCTGGCCAAGGCGTCGTGTCGAGGAAATAGTCCCCTGCGCAGACAGCA